CTCATTGTGGTTCCTTCTTTATGTCTTTAGTTGTAGAAAATCTTTTCTGGTAGGTTCCAGTATTTTTTCATCAATGGTTGTTCTGTAGATAGTTGTGATTTTGTTGTGCTTGTGAGAGGAGGTGAGCTCAGGGTCTTTCTACTCCACCATCTTGGTTGTTTTCCTTATTATTCTGATTTTATAGATAAGAAACAAACTTAGTGGAGCTCAGTCACATGATTTCAAGTGACAGGGCCATGACTCAAGTGCAGGGCTTCCATCTCCCCTTCTCACAGTCTTTCCACTTGTACCTTTCTCCCTCTTCCAGAAAATGATGGCAAAAACTCCTTGCTTGAACATTTTAAATGTAATCTTGCCTCACTTTATAAATGTCCTAAATTCAGCAAGTATATTACAGAAACCAATAGTGAGAAACTGTCATCTCAATTAACTGCTAGGTAACAAAATGTATATAATAACTGGCTTTGTTTTATATATTAGATCATATTTGGATCAGCTCCTGACATCAATGTACTGACCTAAAGCATTTTAAAAGCTCTACATTGTACTTCCTTTCAGATTTCATGTATATGAAAGATGGGAAGTAGAACAAGAGCAGCAGCCTGGGGAAAACTCATACAAAAGAAAGGACTTAAAGGAATTGAGTCAAATAAATGGTACTAAGCAAAGGTGGTACACTGTACAAAACTGGGGAAATTGGTCACTAAGTTCCAAAATGAAGCAAGTGAAACTCCACCAAGGAAAAAATCAAGTGCCAGATGCATTTAAATTAAGTCTTCTTGTGTAAGGAAAACATACGTGTCAGAGTGTCAAAGGAGGAGGTAGCCAACTAGAGTGTTAGTACTAGGGAAGAGTTACCATTACTCAGGAAAAAATTCATCTCGGATCCTGCAGTTTGGGATAAAAGCCAGAAGAATTACTGCCTGGCTCTTTTCCCTCCATGTACCAAAACAGAGCAACCTGTATTTAGAAGAAAACCTGTCCCCCACGACGCAGGCTAGGACAAGTTTCTCTGCCCTTGGCCATGCTTCCCTTGCCAGCTCACACTCTAGCTCTCCACAGCTACTGCCTCAGTCTTCGTTCCACAAACCTGTGAAGCCCTCACCTCCTCCCACACTCTCCAACTTCAGAGAGAAAATAGGAACTGTCATGAACTTCAACTTTCCTGACACCAAATCTACAAATCTGACTATATCTATACCCACCTTTGAGCCTTCCTCACGCCTATCGCATTGACCCTCATAGCTATGGCTAATGCCTTCACCTGTGCACAGGGATTTTTATGCAGACAGTTCCTTCACACACAGCAGCAGCAGCAGCAGGACCCTCTCTCTACTGGCTCTTTTCCATCAGCATTTAGATGTACATATGTATTAAATCTCCCCATCTTTAAAAATAAATAAAAGCATGACCTCATGTCTCTCTCTAGATATTGACCTTTTGCTTTCTTCCTCTTTACAGCCAGATCTAAAGTGTCAGTTTCTCACCTCCTGCCCACTTCTCAACCCACGGTAATCTAGACTCTGTGCCCACCACTCTACAAAAAATTCTCAACAAGAGCACTAATGGTTCTCATTTTACTAGTCCTCCTAGCAACATTAAACCCTCCTTTTCAAACAACTCTTCCTTTAATTGATGTGATACCTAGTTTTTCTAGTACTTCCTTGACCACTCTTTCTTACTGGCCAGTTTCTTGTCTATTTGCTGCAGATTCTCAGGTTTTTGTTCCCAAATCCCTTTTCTCATTCTGTACACACTTTCTAGGCTCTCCCATCCTTTCCCCAGGCCAGTGATAGATTTGGGCATATCAGACCTATACTTCTTTCCTGACCTCTGCCAAACTTCTACCTGAATATCCATTTATCCATTTATCCAATAGCCTACATCTTCCCTTGGATATTTCACAGGCAACTCAAACCCAACAAATCCCAAAGCTCAACTCATCTTTCCCCATCAAATCTGCTCTATCAGTATTTCTACCTCAGGAAATGGCACCACTGCCCCACCCAATTCTAGCCAGAAATCTAGGAGTCATCCTTTACTTGTCTCTCTCTCACACACACTTCACATTTCCCAATCTCCTAGTCGTGTTGATTCTACATCTTGAATATCCTTAACTCCATGGATTTCTCTCACCAATGCCACCACTGTCATCCGGGCAACCATCATCTCTCATCTGGACTGCCACAATATCTTGTAAAGTAGTCCTCCAGTATTCACACATATTGTCCATCCCCCAGTCGGTTTCATATCCTGCCAATATCTTTAATAAAGCTCTGCACAATCTGGCCTCTTCCTGCTTCTCCTGCCTCTCTATGAGCTAGATCCCTCTTGCCCTATTTTATTGTTCCCCAACTCTGCAGACCTTCTTTTAGTTCCTCCAGCAGAGCACATTCTTTTCTCCCCTTAAAGCCTTCCTACTTGCTGTTCTCTCCCCCTCTAACTCTCCAGCACTCTTCATCAGGGAAATTCCTATGGAATCTCTTCCTCAGGGAAATCTTCCCTGATGCACCAGACTAATTTGCTTTCCTTGTTAAACAATACCCTAGAATCATGAACCCTTCCAGTGTGCCCAAATCACCTATAATTTTTGGTGGTGTAAAATTATAGGTGATTTATAGTGGCAAGATTTTCCAGTCTTGCCACTAAACTAGAAGCCCTGGAGGCCAGGGACGATGTCTCATCACCACTGAATCCATGCTGCTTAGTATAGTGCCTGGCGCATAGACACTGGTTATTATTCGTTGAATAACTAAATACAAATATAGAAGCAATTTATCAAAAAAAAGCCCATCTTTCCATGGTATTAAAGCAGAAATCAAAATGCCCTGTTAATCAGCATAACTTTTCATGCTTGCATAATACCAAGCTATTGTTGGGGGAGGGTTTGACAAACTTAAGCAACCTGACAAAGAACAAGGAACTCGCTAAACATGTAACTCTAACCATGGACATCTCTTCAACTTATCTGCTGATTTTTTAGAGATTTTCACATTTTACATAGTTATAATCCATGCATAAGCACTATTTTAATTCTGCTTTTTACAAATTTCCTCCCTTAATCATTGTCTACTTGTTATGTTTAATGGTAACCTGGGGTTACAACAGGTTAATAGGTCATAACTTTCATAGTCGTTTCCTCCCCAAAGTTAGGTTTTTTTTTTTTTGGTTAGTTCCGATGTTGTTATGAATGGCATTGCTGCAAACACTCTTCATAAACAACTTTTTCATTCCAAATTATCTCCTTGAGGAATACAAAAGTGGAGTTGAGACATCAAAGCATACGAGCAATTTATTTCCCTTCATATAGATATCCAGAGAGTTCTCAAAAGAGAATCAATGTGCAAGTACCATTAATAATGTATAATAAAAACCTATGTTTAGGGCTTCCCTGGTGGCGCAGTGGTTGAGAGTCTGCCTGCCAATGCAGGGGACACGGGTTCGTGCCCCTGTCCGGGAAGATCCTACATGCCGCGGAGCGGCTGGGCCCGTGAGCCATGGCCACTGAGCCTGCGTGTCCAGAGCCTGTGCTCCACAATGGGAGAGGCCACAACAGTGAGAGGCCCGCGTACCGCAAAAAAAAAAAAAAAAAAACCTATGTTTAATTCTGTGTAGCCATACCAACACTGGGTTTTATACTTATTTAAGTTTAAATTTTCTTGAACTTTAATAGATAATAACTAACATTTATTGAGCTCTTTCTATGTGTCAGGGACTTATAAGGATTTGATGTAAATTTCCAACTTAATAATAACCATAAAGCTCTAAGGTAGATGCTACTACTCTCCCCCTTTTAGAGATGAGAAGACTAAAGCTTAGAGTTGCCCAAGTGAATTAATGAGGTTTAAATGTAGATGTGCTGATTCCAGAATCTCTGCTCTTAACCACTGTGATACACTGCTGTATGGTTTGTTAGTGGTAATGCTTTTTTTTCTGTTTTATTTACCCAAAAGGAAAAACTACTATTAAAAACAAAAACTGAATGTAGCTTTTCTGACTTCAGGAGTGTCGCATAATTTATTGCTAGAGAGCTTGTTGTTTTGTTGAAGTAAATATCTTGATGGACCTTTTTGGTTGAGAAAGGTCAACTCTCTGGGTTTAGCCTAAGTGGGCCAGGAGGATACAAAGAGAGATCAGTTACTCCAAATAATAAGATGAAAGAAATCTGAATTTTCATTGGATGCCCTAGAAAAAGAGAATGAGGCCTAGGAAAGAAAGTAGAGGGAGGTTGGTAAAAAGAACTGAGATGGGATACATGCCAGAAACACGGCAGGAGGCAGGGGCCTACTGGAGGACATGGCTGGTGAGAAGTTTCCTGAGAGAATGGCTGTCACATTGCTATAAGCAGTCATGTGTGCACTGAATTTGAAGTTTTCGGCTTTGTGCCATAGCCTTCCATTAACTCTAAATCTTTCATGCAATTTGGATACATCTGATTATCTTGGTGGTGGATCATTTGGAGGAATGAAGGATGAGGAGTGGCACATCATGGGCAAGAAGGCAATAGCTAAAGGAACAGGAGACAGTAGACAAGCAGACTGCATCGTGGTCTAACCCAGGAGACACAGAAGCAACCTTGGAAACTCTTGCAGAAATTGAGTCTCAGGACTGACCATAGTGGTTGGAAATGGGGCTCGGGCCATTTTTGTACTGAAAGAATAACCCTAAACATTAAATTGTTTGGAGTTGTCCAGGTTAGAAACTTCTGGGTTATATTCAAGTGGAAAAGAAATTTTGTTGAGCCACAGTAAAAGAAATGTGGTTTATTAGCAGCATTTGTCAGTCTCCTCCTTGCCGTATGGGAATTACCTTCCAGAACACCAGACTCTTCTGGGTTTCCTTGTGCTTTATCAGGCACTCATCAGTTTCCTTTGCTAGTTCCTCCTTTTCTTCCTGATCTCTTGATCACAGTGTGCCACAGGGCTCAGTCATCCATACTTTCCTCTATCAACGGACACTCAGTCCTTGGTGATCTCATCCAGTCTCTTGCTACTACATACCGTCCATCTGTTGACAGTTCCCAGATTTGTATTTCCTAGACTTCTCTCCTGAACTCCAGACACATATATCTATTGCCCACTTGACATCCCCACTTATACGTCTAAAACTCATCTCAAACTTTACATGTTCAATGGTACATTTCTGATCTTCCTCCCAAAAAATACACCACTCATGGCTTTCTTCATCTCAGTTGATGGCAGCTCTGTCCATCCTCTCAAGCCATAAAACATGAGTCATCCTTTATGACTCTTTTTCTGTTATCCTCCATCTCTAATTTGACAGGAAATTCTGTTGTTTTTACCATCAGAATATATCCAGAATCTGCCCATTTCCACCATCTCTGCTTCTACCACCTGAGTCAGAGCCTCTGTCATCTCTCAACACCATCACCCCAAAGTCTCCTAACTGACCTCCCTGCTTCCACCTTTCCCTGCCTCACAGCCAACGAAGATCCTTTTAAAGCCTATATAATCAAAGCGTATTATTCACTCCTTTGTCTCTCATTTCATTCAGAGTAAAAGCCAAAGTTCTTACGGTGGTCTTATCTGATCTTCACTGATTCCTGCTTTAGACAAAGATACATGTTGGTAAATCATAGTTCTTCTTTGCAGGCCAGGCTGTATCCATCCACTCTACCAACTGCCAAAAACAAAATATTAAATGCAAGCCTAGCAAAATTACAGATCAGTAGCTTTTCTGCCTATGGACAGATTGGACACTCCTTATTCAAAGCAGTGGTTGAGTAAGATGTGACTTGGGGGTGAGCGGGTGGAGAGAGAAATCCTGATATCAGCCACTTTCTTGCTAATGAGCACATTATCTGTAGTTTTGGTGTATCCTCTAGAGGTTTCTAATATGCAGAATGATCTACTTCTGAGCCTCTTTAGGCCATTAAGTTTAGGCCATTAAGTTCTTTGGCATTGATGATGAATTTCCTGTGGCAAGGAAATCATTTTTACTTTTGTCAGCTATTCTAAAAGTCAGTAGATTGATGCAGTTGGTTCTGAAAATACCTGCCAACATTCTGAGGTCCAAGCCCTTACCTCCTGCCTTCTGGACTAATGATTCTCAATCATGGGCCACTGTGTCCCCCAGGGGACATTTGGCAATGTCTGGAGATGTTTTTGGTTGTCACAGCTAAGGGTGGGAGGTGCTGCTGGCATCAGGTGGGCCAAGGATGTGGCCGAGCACCCACCAATGCACAGGACAAACCCCCCATAACAAAGGATTATGCAGCCCAAAATGGCAGTAGTGCTGAGGTTGAGAAACCGCCATCTAGACTATTCTGGCGGACTTTTAATCTACCTTGTGCCCCGTTGCCAAACCAGCATTCCTAAACCATCACGTTTATCCATCACTCCTAAGTTCCAGTAGCCCCCATAGCTCTTCATTGCCTGAAAGATCAAGTCTCTCCTTCTCATCCTGGCGTTTAGATCCTGAGGTGTTTTGCACACTTAACGTATCCATTCCCTAGCAGGGACTCTGCTTCTCCTAAGCTTTCATTGGCACCATCCTTCGCACTACCATCCTTTTACTGACGTTAACCCCCCAAACACACAACCGGTGAGGACCCTCCCCACAGCTCTCCTCTGATCCAACTCTTACCCTCTGAAGTCCACACGTGTGGCACACCCCTTGCCACTGAGTCAGTCTATGCCACTCCCTTCTGTACATATCAGGGCTCACATGTCTACACTGTTATACAGCTATTCCCTCTATCTTGTCTCCTCAGTAAACTCTTTGAAGGGGTCCATATTGTATTTCTGGCCTATCGATCTCAGTTTCCACAGCGTAAGGTGTGAAAACCATATTGTCGTATTGAGGGTTCCTTGTTGTGAGAGTCAAATGAGCATAGAAAGTACCTTGCATAGGGCCCGGCACCCAGTTTATTGCTCAGAAAATTACGGAATCATAGTATCTATAGAAGCATACATGCAGGAGTCCATAGCAAGTGCTTAATAAATCTTTTAAATGTAATTACAGACTGGAGAGAGCATGCATTCAGACCAGCCTGGTATTTGGAACTAACAGCAAAGAAAAACTTCCATCAGAAATCCTACACCAATTAACACTCCTTCATGCTAGAGTGAATCCAGGAGCAGTGGGTGTCACATTTTCCCAAAGTGGAGCCTAAGCCAACCTTTCTGCATTTAACAAGTTAATGAACAGCTTGTGAGTAACACTTTGCCCACTCTGGCCCAATTTAGAAGGCTGCCAAAAGGATAAGATGTCAATATGCCACTCTCTGCTTTGCCGCGGTGCCAGCTGCATCCTGCCTAAGTGCTTCTGCCCTCAGCCACTGGAGAGCACGATGTCCTTAGAGAAGGCGGCACCAGTAGGATGAGGCTGCAGCGCGGGCCTGGCCTTTCCCCAGGCGGAAGAGAGCCTTGTCTCAGATCCTGTGAGAGAAGTGAGTGGGGCATGGTATTCTGAGCAGCCCAGGTTTGGCTTTGGGCCAGGCACTGAGTGGCAAACAAGAAGGAACACATTCCGGGAAGGCAAGGAGCCCTGCCAACGCGAAGGAGGACCAGCCAGCAGGGCCTGCTGGGCGCCAGGTGCTCCTTGGCTCTGTGGAGGTCAGGCACACAGAGGATAAACTCGGGTTTCTCTGGATTATCGTTTCAGAGGCTTAAACGCCTCCCTCCCCCTCACTTTCATGGGCAAAGTGTATGTAGCCATGTAACCGTTACATTTGAATCCTCTCTGCTCTGGGGTCCAGCCCCTTATCTCGAAATGAAGGTAGGAGGAGAAAGAGTGAAATCACACCTTGCAGAATCCAGGTTTCTGCAATTCTGTGCCCTGGGTAAGAGAAGATGCTACTGACAACAAGGGCAGAGCCGGGGAAAGCCTGGGGTTTCTGTGCCCCTGTTGGAAGCTGAGCTCCCCACTCACCCCCAGAGCCCACACCACACACACACCACACACACACACCACACACACACCACACACCACACACACACACCACACACATACCCCACACACACCACACACACACACCACGCACACCACGCACACCACGCACACACCACACACCACACACACACCACGCACACACCACACACACACCACACACACCACGCACGCACCACACACACACACCCCACACCACACACATACCCCACACACACCACGCACACCACACACACACCACACACACACCACACACACCACACACACCACGCACGCACCACACACACACCCCACACCACACACACCCCACACTTGTTCTTCACACCAGCCACTTCCGCCTTCTGACTGACCAGACCTCAGGAGATCTTCAGAGTCCTTGGGAATGCTTTCCTCTCATAATCACCTCAGGCCTTTCCCCTGGGGTATGATAGAGGAGGGGAGAGGAGAGAAAGAACCAAAGGGCACCGGGGAGAAATGGCCCTGGGAGCCTGCCCAGCTTCCCTTCTGCCACTGCCAGGGCCTGGGGACAGCGGGTGGGGGTGGGGCGGGTGGGGTGCTTTCTTTGAGAAAGAAGAGCGAAGTCTGTCCCTCACTGCCTTGGCTCCAGTTCCTGCTGGACTTTGCTGCCACCTAGTGGCCCAGTGGCATCTCACCTCCCCCCCACCCCCACCCCCACCCCCCCAGATAGAGATCTGCCTAGGGATCTGGCCTGTCCCAGCCTGAGGCTGACAGGAGAGCCTTCTCTGAAAAGCTTCTCTGCCCTAGGATGCCCTGATTCTGCAGTGCAGCTTTTAGGAGAGAGGAGCAGCACAGGGTCACCACCTCACCTAGCTCGATAGGTGTCCTAACGGCATGGCCACCAGGTGGGAGGGCCAGGGCTGGGTGGGTGGGCGCCTGGGAGTGGGGGCAGTTTCTTACTCCCAGGATGTCTCTGGTGGGATGCAGTTCTCCCAGAGCCCCCCTCACTCCTGAATGCCTTTTTCACGAGAACTTCTGCCCACTCTCACGACTCTCCCTCATCTGGCTAAAGCCCATGTTGCAAACTGAGGCTCCCACATAAAATATATATACCTCCGTTTCTCCAAGTTTAGGGCTGTTGTTTCTCCCTTATAAAGTTAGCTCAACTTAAAAAATATGATATGCCCTCACTGTGATGCTGCTGCTATGAACCACTCCCTGGGAATAGTGAAAAGGAGGTGTGTGATAGTATGTAGAAATTCAGCCATATTTTTCTGCATATTACATCCATGTGTTTATTTCCTCTAGCAAAAGAAAGCACTTGGTTTCAGTAACCACTGATTCTGCCAGCTCCAAACTTTCAGACCTGAGCTGCAGTACCCAGGGAATGTATAAAATCCAAATTCCCTTCTCCTGCCTACCTCTCCAACCTCTTATTTTTTTTATTGTGGCAAAATACATATAAAATTTATCATCTTCATCTTTTTTTTAATTAATTTATTTTTGGCTGTGTTGGGTCTTCGTTGCTGTGCGCGGGCTTTCTCTAGTTGTGGCGAATGGGGGCTACTCTTCGTTGCGGTGCGCGGACTTCTCACTGCGGTGGCTTCTCTCGTGGAGCATGGGCTCTAGGTGTGTGGGCTCAGTAGTTGTGGCTCACGGGCTCTAGAGCTCAGGCTCAGTAGTTGTGGCACGCAGGCTCAGTAGTTGTGGCTCACGGGCTCTAGAGCACAGGCTCAGTAGTTGTGATGCACGGGCTTAGTTGCTCCGCGGCACGTGGGATCTTCCTGGACCAGGGCTCGAACCCGTGTCCCCTTCATTGGCAGGCAGATTCTTAACCACTGTGCCACCAGGGAAGCCTTAATGATTAAGCCTTATCATCTTAATCATTTGTAAGCGTATAGTTCCACAGTGTGAGGTACATTCACATTATTGTCCAACAATCATCACCATCTCCAGAACTCTGTTTATCTTGCAAAACTGAAACTCTGTACACATTAAACAATAACTCCCATTTCCCTTCCCCATAGCTCCTGGCAACCACCATTCTGCTTTCTGTTTCTATGAATCTGACTACCAGAGGTACCTCATATATGTAGAGTCATACAGCATTTGTTTTTAGTGACTGGCTTACTTCACTTAGCATAATGTCTTCAAGGTTTATCCATGTTGTATCATATGTCAAGACTTTCTTTCTTTTGAAGGTTGAATAATATTCCATTGCATGTATACACCAAATTTTGTTTATCCATTCACCTCTCGATAGATACTTGGGTTGCTTCCACCTTTTGGCTGATTGTGACTGACACTGCTATGAACATGGGTGTACAGATAGCTCTTCAAGCCCTTATTTTCCATTCTTGTGGGCATATACGCAGAATTGGAATTACTGGATCATGTAATCGTTTTTAATTTTTTGAAGAACTGCCATACTGTTTTCCACAGTGGCTGCACCATTTTACATTCCTACCAATAGTGCATAAGGGTTCCAATTTCTCCCCATCCTCAGTAACACTTTTGTTTTCCATTTCTTTGATAGTAGCCATCCTAATGGATATGAAGTGGTATCTAATTGTGGTTTTGATTTGCATTTCCCTAATGACCAGTGATGTTGAAATGTCTATTCAAGTCCTTTACCGACTTTTAAACAGGTGGTTTTGTTGTTGCTGAGTTGCCCTTTCCAACCTCTTTTCATGTCACTCTCCCACTGACTAGTATCCTACACTCATGCAGATGGTCTCTCTGTTCCACAGAGATATATGTGTTCTTTCCTACCTTTCACAGTTGCCGACCCTTTTCCCAGTTCCTTCCATGACTGGCTCCTCATCCTTTAAGCACCAGCTTAAATCTCACTTCAGAGAACATTTCTTGACCACCCATCCAAAGCCACCTCCCTGTTTACTGTATCTTGTATCACTTTCTTTCCTTCATGGAACTTAACCACAATCTGGAATTACCTTGTTTGTTCACGACTTACTTGGAACTTATGTTTATGTGGAATGCAAGTGCCATGGGGGATGCAGAGATATTGCCTGACATGTTCACTGCTCTATCCTCAGTGCCTAGCTTAGTACCAGCTCATAGTCTGGGCTCAGCATTTACTGAACGAATGAATCACTACTAGAGGGGGCCTCCCAGACAGAAAGTAAGGTGACGTGGCCCAAATTGGAATTTAACCTCCATAATCTAGGCTTGATGTCATAGAAAAGGACACAGGGGTTTTCTAGCTCTGAGTTCCAGACTTTAATTCCTGAGTCAGGAGCACAGTACTAGTTGAACCAGGGACACTGCTTTGGAGTTGCCCAGGAGAAACAGGGAAGCATTCTCAGTGTCCATCCAACAGAGGGAGGAGGCTATGGTGGTGTGCTGTGGCCATCCTTACCATTCCCCATATGCCTGAAGTATGAGTCAGCTCAGCTAAAGTCCTGTGAGATGTGCAAAGTACTTGGGATTCTGGGAATGACTTTGGCTCCGTTAGTCTCCTTCGTGCCAAATATGTCAGTAAAGAGCACTTTTAATGAGTAGTCAAAAGATAAAAGTGAACTTCCCATACCATGGGACACTAGAAAAATCGGATTTTTTATTTAAAAATATTTTCAACGCCATAGTGGAACAACTGAAGGATAGTTGAACCAAATTCTCAGGGAATTAGAGGAGCATCCTCCAATGCAAGCAGGCTGTATAAATACACATGGTTTATAAATGAGCACAACAGAAGGGACGCTGGCCAGAGGACCAGACTGGGGGACAGCAGGGAGAAACAGAGGGCCCTCCAAGTGGGACAGGCACACACTCCTATCACTCAAAGCCCTGGACCCCAAGAGGGCCTCCAAAGCCACCTACTCTACTGCACGCCTCTTGCCGTCTCTGAGCCTGGGGCATGCAGACTGGAGACTTGGCACCTCTCATGGCCTCTGGCTCAACCCAGCAAGCCTCAGAGAATGGACCTGTTCTCCCTGCCCTTCAGCAAGGACCAGGGAGGGGAGGTGCTGGGGCAAGTAGGATTATTTCCCTGAAAATCTGATTGGAAGGAAGTGATTAAGGGGGCTGGTTCCCAAAAAAGGACGGGCATTCATCTGGTGTGGCAATGTGGGGAGAATGGAGCAGTGAGTTTCACCTGAGACATACAGATTTAGTGCAGGTATCCCACAAGGCCAGGCTCTAAGCCAAATCCTAGAACCTGGGATGGGGAGAGAATGAAGAGACCTCCAGTCTGAGTTTAGGAAGTTGTCACCTCCTGTCAGTCCCTCCAGTCTTCAGTTGGGTTTGTCATAAATAGGACAGTCACAGCTCCACAGTAAATAACTTCCACCTGGATTTCTCCCTAGTTAACCTCTCAGGTGTCTGAAGAGGGAAAAAGTGGCTCTTTCTGACACCACCCACCCCATCGCCACTGACTTTCCCTGATACGTCTGGCCTCCTCACTAAGCCCTTTCCAGAACCTACAAAGGCACTCTCTTAGCATTTCGGAGTCCCAGAGAGGACAGGCCAGAGTTTTAAGGCACAGAGAAGCTTTTAGAATTGAGGAGACCTTGACAGAGAAGGAAGAATATCTAAGGCAAAGCCACTACCATGTCCACTCTTCCTATCCTCTACCTCTCTTGTCCCCAAAGGTATCAGACAGACCCCCCTGGCCTGGTCCCTGCACTGTCCCAGGCCCACCTTGGACACCTCCATTATACTCATGGAGAACAGAGCCCGTGGAGTGGAGGACCCTCCTGCATGGCCTGCAGGTGACATGGTGAGCTCTGCCCTGTGGTGGCCCAGCACCATCATGCCCAGTGCCCAGCCAAGCCCGACAGGCTGCCATTGGCCACACCCAAAATCCAGGCAGTCAGGCAGAGAGTACAAAGCAAGCCCTCAGATCAAAGCCACTGCCCCTTCCATCCCCCACTTCCCACCTGGGGCACCTTGGAAATGTTTGAGCACACCAGGGAAAGATCCAGTACCTGGTCTGCGACCACAGTGGTCAAAAGGCCCTGCTCCACCTGTCTCACCAGGAAATAGCAGCTGAGGACACAGAAATGCTGGACCTCTATTCTCCTTCACAGCCACTGCCACAGTCCCCGGCTGCAGGTAGTGTCCTCTCAGATTCAGCCAGCCTCCTCATGAGGGGCCAGAACAGAGCCTCTGCACAAAGTGTGAACACTCCTCTTGCTGGAATCCTGGCCACAGGCCCTCCTCTCCTCATTCATAGCTTACCTCACTCCCTCCAGTCTGCCCTGCATGGGTCCCTGGCTGACGGCAGAGAAGTCCTTTGGGCCCCATATCAGGGACTCTCAGGTGTCCAAGTGAGAGCACAGTATGCTGGGAGAGAGCGAAGGCCACACTGGTGGTTTGGGTTCTGGCCTCTGTCCCACCACTGGAGTGAGCCAAGTGACAGGTATCAAAGCGTGGCCGTTGTCCCTTGCAGCGGCCCCACGTGCTCTTCCTGTATGTCAGAGCTGTTTCCGAGGAACAAGTTAAAATCTTTTCATTTAAGTGGTTGCTGAGGCTTAGTGTACAGAATTCCTCAGCTAGATCCAAAAATCTGGCTTTTTGTCCGAGTCCCCAAATTGTAGGAGCTTTGTAAACAGGTACTAAAGATCACTCATTAAAGGAGGGAGAAGAGTTGGGGGGAGGAGAAGGGATCCGGAATATTTTCTTTCAGACTCAGTCTCAGCACAGCAGCAGCATAAACCAAGCGGACTGTTGGTGGCACCTTAGCACCCAGAGCATTCTTCTCGGAGGAGTGGGGACAAAGGCCAAGTGGCTGTTACCTGCACACAGGAGAGATGACCAGGTCAGACAAAGGGCCTAGAAGGCAGACAGATGAGTCAGTGAAGACTTTGTCCACCCATGAGAGGGGGTCCAGGTGGGATCTGTGTACCCTGCCCAACCTTGCTGAGGGCCATCAAGCCAGCTCAAGGGCAAGGCCAAGACCAGCCAGGCTAACAAGCAGCCTGGCCATAGGTTTTGGCTGCTGTCCTTAACCCTCAATCCCAGAAGCATGAGAAAGAGAAAAGGCATCACCTGTGCCCAGGGACTGAGCCGCCCCAATTCAGGGAGCATAACTGCTGTTCTAGCCGGGAGATGCGGAACGCCAGGTATGATGAAGACATTACCAAGAAGCAGATCCTGGAGAAAGAGGGGTAAGGAGGAATTGAATCTCTCTTCTAGAAACGGGGCATTTTTACAGAATCCCCAAAAATAGGAGTGGGACTAAGCTAGTTCCTGCAGTTGGAAGAATTAAAGACCCCTCTGCCTGCAGTTACGTTCTAGACCTAGGCATCTTTTTTCCCAGAGGCCACATGGGGGTTCTGAGACTCGTCCCCATGGAGGTGTCCTTGAAGCCCAGCAGGAGTTCTGGATCCTTCAGCTGAGCCCACCTTCCCTCTGACCAGCCACCTTGGTCCTACACCCCCTCTGCAAGGCCACTAAGATTACCCCCTAAGGCGGTAGCCCTTCCCCCAGCAAGTGCTGAGGTTGACAGTCAAAACCCAGCCAGCAGAGCCAGAGGAAGGTGATGAGGTAAGGTGAGGGAATCCAGGGGCTGGCTCTTCATAAAACATCCCACCATGCTCACTGCTCTACTTAGGCAGAATTACAGACAAGCCTGGGCTTCCAGAAAACACCCCAATGGCGGGCAGCAGGAAGGCCATGGCTCTCCCTTAGTCTATCTGATGGGCCTCTCAGATTTTGCCAACCCTCCTCCTCCCCAATCCTGTGCAACTTTTTCTTTCTTCAACAGTTTCATGTCTTGCCCCTCTCCACAGCCTTAACCCTAAATTACAGGGTTGTAAGAATGAAAACTGGAAATACTTTATCTTGCTCTAGAAGAGCCTGCTGCACGGCTGCCAGATGCCACCCGGGAACTTGCAGTTGACTCAGAACCTTCCCCTCGCTCTGGACACTGACCTCCCCACACACCAAGGCCCCGGCTCTAAACACTCAGACACCCACCACCCTCCATACAGCCACCTACAGCACGAGGAAGACCTTCAGGAGCCCATGATCCCAGAGCCTCTGCTCCCCATTGCTCTTGGGCTCGTCCTCCAGCCTCTTCTCCTCATAGTCAGCGTTCTCTGCAACAGGACGGCGTTAGGCATCTTCCTGGGCAGAAGGCAGGACCCCAGCCCACTCCCCCGCCCGTGTTCTCTGGAGCCGCTTGGGCTCTTGGCTTTCCCTTATGGATTTGGAGAAAGAAAGAAACAGCTCTCAGAAGCCCTGCTGGCTGTGATGACCTCTTTTTGCAGAAGTGGGAGGCGGGAAAGCCTGGTCTTTGCAAGCAGTTGCCATGGACAAGCACGCTGAACTCACCAGACCCCGGAGGCTTCCTGGAGGGGAAGAAGTCATCCGTGGATGCCCGAGGGATACAAGGGATATTGTCTGGGAGGGACAGGGACCTGGAGGCAGGGCACACTTTTCTCCACTTCATCTCAGGGATGAGGACTTCCTGCAGAGAAGGCAGGAGAAGCTGTCTCCCATGGCCCTTGGGACCTCACTTGCCCTAAGGGGTTCACGCTAGATTTATCAAAGGCTTTCCAGATATTATCAATATGGATGCCTAGGAAGCATGAAAGCGGGTGCCCAGAAGCGGGGAAACCACTGCCATAGCAATCACATGTCTCATCTGCTCCCTTGCTGTGAGCAGCCACTCTTCCAGGGAATGGTGTCTTTGAAGACTGCTAGTGTAGAACCACAGTGGAATCTAAGACATGAGCCATCCCAGGTGCGTGTTCAGACCGGCTGAGTCCAAGACAGCTTGGCACTGTATATCTTAGACGGAACAAGTTATGACTCCTGCTAATCTGGGCTCTAACCCTGTGTCACTAACCTTGACTTAAGGTCCCCATCAATAAAAAGGGGAACATCGCCTTCCATCCCCTGCATGGCATTGTGCGTATTGTATGCTTGGCTAAACGTTTAATAGTTACTGAAGTAGACTTCAAACACCCTGGGGTCATTTCCACCCCCCACCCCTGCTCTAGAAACTGCTTACCCAGGATCCCAGGAGCAAAAGAAACAGCTGGGACCTTGGCCAATCTAAAAGGATCCTGCCTCAGTTCTGACTGCCTTCAGCACTCTTCCCCAGGGACATCTGCAGCCCCTTGAAGGCCCTCCTGACTGCTAAAGAGGATGGGGTGCTGGCTCTGTACCCGCGAAGGTATAGGGTCCAACCTGGGCAGTGTTCCGGGGGCTGGGCACCTGTTCTGCTCAGGAAGTTAGCACGTCTGCCCAGGACAGCGGCTCTGCATGGTATGGAGCGTGCCGGGTCTAGGGGACCCCTTTACACAGCACGGCCACTGGCTCTTGAGCCTGCTGCCCCAGTTCTGCACTGTGGGCTCCTGCCTGGGAGGCCCTGAAGCCTTAGAACCACAGGCAATCTCAGGCCAGCCACGTTTGCTCCCAGCCTCAGCTCTCACCAGAGACTCGCACTCAGGTTCCTCTAGAGATTCTCTTGCGCTCAGACTCTTCTTGCTGGAAGGCTGAGGAGGGAAGGGAACAGGGATCACTTGTCCATCTGGAACAGCCAAAGTCAGGCATGGGGAGGTATTAACACTCTCCAAGAGAGCTTTACCTCCAAATAAGCCACTTTAGGTCAGATAGAGCCTAAAGCTCCCAGAGTTTGCAGGGGGATCCCTAGTTAATGCTGGAGCAGAGGGCAAAGCCAAGGCAACATACTCCCCCAAGCTGCTGCCCTCACCATAGGCGAGAGAGAGCTGTAGGCATATTGGGAAGCGGCCACATGCTCCTGCCCGTCTGTGCACCAAGGAAGCACAAGTGAGGGCTATACGTGGGGACACACGAGGGCCCAGTGGCCTCAAAAAGGCTCACAAGCATAGACACATGGTCCAAGGACTGCCTCTGATTCACTGAGCCTGAGCCTGTTACTCCCCGTTTCCTGTGCCGGGGAGATGGGCCAGCCCCCCCCACAACAGCCCTGGCCCCAAGCTTCATACCTGTAGGTGGGTGCAGACCCTCCTCAGCATGTCATATACACTGTCCCGGGAGAGCAGTGACACAAAGACATACTAGAACGTACAAAGAAAACAGAAAGGGGCAAGGTACGTAAAGACTTGGGAGAGTGCCAGGGTCAAGCTGTGGACTCCTAGAGCTGGAATGGGGAGAAGGACAAGGGAGCGCTGGCCCAGAATCTCACTGACCTTCTGGCTGGTGTTGGTGGTGATGGCCAGGCCATTGGGAAGGAGCCGCGCCATCTTGTGTTTTTTGATCATTTGCACAGACACCACGGGAATGACCACCTGACGGGGGAGAGGGATTCTTCTCTCAGGACTCACCCCTAAGGACACAGTCCCTTTGCTTCCTGCGTAGGGCGCCAGCCACCGCTGGCAGTGACCCAAGCACGAGCACCGTGGAGATGTCTGGTCCCACGTGGGAGAGTATCTGAGCCTCCACCGTCTCACGCAGGCTCCCTTCAGTTATCCCCCACCCCTTGGCCGCACGTGCTGCTCCGGCTTCTCACCCCATCATCCAGGAGGCAAGGATGGTTGCCCTGGTGAATCCCATACTGCAGTAAGAGAGTTCCCTGAGCCACCATGCACCATGGCCACTTTCGGGCCCCCCTAAGTGTGACATCCCACTCTGATTCTGAAGGCATTTTGGAGGTACCCGTAGGCAGAATAATTTGGCAGTGAACTGTTCAGGCCGCTCAGGCCATGTGGAGTCTAGATTGGGGCCCCTGTTTGGAAGGGGTGGGGCTGCTGCCCTGGACACCAGGTGGGATGCCCTACAGTGAGAAGCCTCACCAAGTGTCAGCGTGTGGGGGGACAGGCCTGACTTGAGGTGCACCCGCAGGGCAGGGGCGTCTCTTCCCTGGGCTGTGGCAGCCCTTATCACTTATTACTACCTTGATATCCTTGCCAAAGAGGCTGGCATGGAAGCAGAGCCAGTTGGGGGAGATGAAGAGCCGGCCCTGGAGAAGGAGGTCCCTCTGGAGGGCGCAGGAGCACACTGGGAAGTCACAGGAGACTGCCGTGAGCAAGGCCAGCCCGGGAGCCCCGGGGCCTGGGTCCTCCCACTCAGGAGTCCAGAGTCCAGCCTCGGGGACTGTCCTCCTCAGTACCCTTCCCAATCCCAGGCCCCAGCAACCCATTCCCCCAGCACCCTAGCATCCTTTCCTGTGACTCCTGACCGCTCCCACCCCACCAGACTGCTAGATGTTTCCTCTTCCTCCATCCATGCCCCAAAAGGTCTGGCAGGTTTCTGCCCTGGTCCCCTAAGCCTGGATGTTCACCTCCACAGGCAGAACTCCTTGCCCTGCCCTGCCAGGGAGAGAGGGCCTTGATTGTGCAAATGCTCCCACACACTCCCTGGCAGGCCTGAGCAGGAGAGAATAGACACTGATAAGAGCAGAACAGAAATAAGATTTGGAAGCCCCGACATTTCCTCAAGAAAATTTTTGTAAATTCAACTTCATATCTCAAATCAGCCCATCCTTCTCACACTTTTGAAGAAAAAAGGGCACGTTCAAAGGGCAGCCAGTTCCCATATCTGATTTGTGCCTGGAAGCTCTGGGAGAGGACCTGGGCCTTGGGCACTGCAGGTGCCTGTCCAGCCACCCGGGGAGACAGCTCACCTTTGAGAACCACTTCCTCCAAGGGGATATCCTTAAACAGCTTGTGATATTGCTGGTTGTATTTTCTCAGTAGCGTCTGCAAACACACGAGCTGGGTCTGAGAAGTCCCAGGAGATCGGACCACCAGAGGGCCCTGCTCCAGCCACCAGCAAATAAGGCCACAGGGGTGGGGGTCCTGCGGTGACTTAGCATGAAGTAGTGGGTAAGCAGTCAGTGGGTGTGGAGGGCTGAGCTCCAAGCACAGCTTGTCTCCTGGTGACGCGAGGTCCTGACAGGCAGCCTAGGGCTGGAAGAGGACACAACTCCCACCCAGGAGGGGACACCCACTAGGTTTCCTGGTGACAGGCCTGTGGCCAAGGAGCCAACAGTCACCAAGTTCAGGCAGCCCGGGACCCCTCTCTCAGTGGGCAGTGAGAAGTCGGCTTCCCCACACTTACCCCTTCTCGGCCGCACTTCTTTACGCCTTCACCCTTCAAGCCTTCTGGCCAGTGCAGACTGCAAAGAAGACATGCCATTCCAGGGACAAGGAACCCTCAAAGTCCTACCCATGCATCCTTAGTGCCAACTCTGTCCTGGCCTCAAGCCACAAGCTTGGGGCAGAGATTGGAGGCTGGGGCCCTTCACAGCGGGCGCAGAGCTCGCCCTGGGGAGGGGCACTCCTGAGGCAGGGAGGGGTCGCTGAGAGCCCTCTTCCCCGACAGCTGTGAGCAGCCGCCCCCAGGAGGTATGCTCGGCCTGAGCCTCGATGTCCCAGAGCTGCCCACCCCTGAGTGTCAAAAGCCCTCTCCCGTTTTTCTGACCTAGGCGCAAGCAGAGGAGCGGACCGCAGAGTGAATGAGCAGGAGGCACAGGGTTGGGGAGCAGGTGGGGTGGGGGTGTCAGCCTCACGGCTCCAGGGCCTGGCCATGGGCCATGATCCCAGCAGGACTGCCCTCTCCCAGGGCCTGCAGCTCTGCAGTGAGGGGCTGGGCAGACTCACCTGACCTGACGGAAGCTACCAGGGCTGGCGGAGAGGGGGTGGTGCTGAAACGCTAACTTTTGCCCCGGCCAGGTTGGCCTGAGGACAGGTGGGCAGGGAGGAGGCTGGTAACCCGAGAAGCCTGGACTCTGCTAGGTCCCAGTGCACTGGGACAGGCCTGGGAGTGGGAGGAAGAGGCCCCGGGCAGCCTATGCCCAACCTAACCCCCCTGACGCAGCCTTAAGGCCCCCTTTCGAACAGGTCACCTCCAGAGGGCTTCCACCCCCAACCAGTATGTATATCTGATCGGGAGAGGGGCCTCACCTGGAGCCTCGGAGTCTCTGGACCCTGCCTAGTTTCTCCGTGCTCTTCAAAGAAGCCGTCTTTCCGTGCATCTGTTGAATACTGAGGAGAAACAGGCCCTCATCAGGAAGGGGGGCTCTCTGGGGACACCTTTCCCAGCCAGCTCCACCATGTCCAGGGCAGCTGCCTCTGCCCCCTACCCAAGACCGGCCCTGCTATTCAAGGTGCGCTGAAGATGTCACTGTCCAGAGGCAGCAGCCCAGGCAGGGCTTCAGGGCAACTGACAGAGAGAGGAGACTCACTCACTGTCTTTCCTGGAAGCGTGAAGTCCAGTTTATGCCTGGGTATGAAGGAAAATCAATCTCCCAGGTAGCTCTTAGGCCTCCAGCCCCACCCTTCAGAAGGCACCTGGGAGGGAGGACCCTGTGACTTGCTCCCGACCGAAAGCAGAAGTTTCGGAGGAGCCCAGGCAGTACTACCGTAAACCATCAGCTTCTGGGAAAGGATTCTGAGCACAGGAGGCCTTATCAAGGCTGAGCAGTTGATACTGCGCAGATGTGGTTGTGAACTTCAGCCCACAGCTGAGTGTGGGCTTAGGGGGCGGGGATGCCCCACACCAGGAAGTGGCCTCAATGCCGTCAGACCATCAGGGTAGCTCGGACCTGAGAGCCAAACCATCACAAAAATGTCCAATAGAGAGGGCCCGAGAGGGGGGAGACACCCTCTCCATAGGCAGGTGGGGCTCCCCAAAGGCTTCTGAATTCATGCCTCCACTAAACAGCTCCAAAGCCTAGGGTCCTCCCCTTCCTGCTCCTCCAGAGCAGAAAGACTAAAGCTTGAGCAGGCAAACTAGCCGCAGCTGAGTGGGCCCAGGGGTGATGGGAAGAGAGGGTGGCGAAGCAGGGCCACGGCAGGGCAGTGTGGTGGTCGTGAATAGGTAACGGGGTCTGTGCACTGGTCTCTCAGCAGGTAAGGAGCTGGAACCTGGAACCTGCAGATCCCAGCGCTCCGTCCCTCTGGGCAGTGTCACCAGGCAAAGTCAAATTCTCTTCTTCAAGAACAGAGTTACTGGGACTTCCCCGGTGATCCAGTGGGTAAGACTCCACGCTCCCAACGCAGGGGGCCGGGGTTCGATCCCTGGTCAGGGAACTTGATCCCACATGCGTGCAGCAACTAAAAGTGCACGTGCCGCAACTAAAGATCCCGCGTGCCACAACAAAGATCCCGACGCGGTGCAGCCAAGATAAATAAATATTTTTTAAAATAAAATTAAATTAAAAAATAAATAAAATAAATAAATAAAAGAAGAGTTACTGCCTAGCCAAGATCTGCCAAGCCCCTCCAGGATTATTAATCTGACCCTCCTCCCACCCTACCATTGTACAGATAGGAAACTGAGACCTGCCAGGGACAGGCTGTACCCAGTGTCACACAGCAAAGAGCCAGGTGATCTCACCCACCAAATGAGCCCAACCACAGCCATGTGGCCTGATGACCTCTGTCCTCAACCTTACGGTCAGTTTTGGTGCACATATCATGTATGTCCTGAATCTTTCAAAGTGACAGGTTGTGCTAGCGATGTGACCCTTTGACTCCTAAAGTTAATTTCTGAATTTATTTGGGTCCATCATAACACATTTCACAGAGACTTCTCCCCCTTGATTTTTTTAATGCTTATTATAGAAAATATGAGAAATATAAAATATATAAAGCATTATGATCAAAAATCACCCATAAGAAAAAAATTCCCCCAAAATCACCCAAAGAAAACATTTATGCATAAATATATAATTTACGTAAGTGAGATTATATATCATATAATTTGTATGCCCTATTTTTGCTTAACATAATTTCATGAGAAATTCCCCATGTCCCTATTCATTCCTTGGATAGATTCTCAGAAGTGAAATTTGTGGATGGAGAATGAGCATTTCTCAGGATCTTCAGACCCACTTCCAAAATGCTTTCCAGGTGCTCTACTAACGAGCATGGCCATCAGCACTATATGAGGGTGCCCGTTGCCCTACATCCAGGCCATACACTGGGTATTATCTTTTTCTCACCTTTGCAAATTTGATAGGCGAAAATATATTGTTTTCATTTCTATTTCTGCTTATTGACAGGTTGAACATTTTTGCCAAATACATATTAACCACTGGGATTTCATCTGTGAATTGTCTATAAGGATCTTCATGTCTTTCTTATTGATTTGTATACCTTCTTTGTTGAGAAGATTAATCCTTAGTTTATCATTTTTGCAAATACTTCCCCCATTTGCCTTTCAGTTCTGTGGTATTGTTGCTGTACTTGTGTTTAATTTTTGTGCGGCCCATTCCATCCCTCTCTTTCATCTCTCTGTTTCTTTCTTGCTTTGAGGATAAGAGAGGCCCCTGAGGCAGAGTGTGTACAAGTCAAACCACCGAGCCTTAGAGACCTTGAACCCTACAGCCCAGGAGCCCACGGGGCCACCAGGGAGGAGATGGGTGTGGGCTCCGCTCCAAGGAACACACTCCAGCCCTGGGGACCAAGGATAAAACAAGACCCCAAGAGGAAGAAGGAGGAACTTGATCATGGTTTCAGAGGCAGGGAGCCTGTCACTCAGGCACTGGAAAGTGTGATACGAGTTGTCAGGGCTGCAGGAGCTCAGAGGACACACAGAGTGAAAGAGTTACAGCAGGACTCCCAGAGAAAAGGAAGCTGAGCCTTACCAGCTGGGTGGGACTATAATCCTGCTTGGCTTCCATCATCTAACCCTGCGTAATAATCACGCCTTTGCATAGATTCTAAACCCAACCCATCCTTAGGTTCAAATGTGACCTCAGGGAGGGGCGCCTTCTGTCAGTCCTCCCCCAGCCTAGTGATGAGCCCTACTGCAGGCTCTCAGCCCCGAACCCCAGGCTCCCTCTCAGGCACCTGTGTGTGAGCTCTAACTGCCCACCTCCAGGGGCTCCAGGACGCCTCCTGCAACATCGCAGCCCCTGAGCCTAGGGCACCGCCAGCGTGCAACAGGCACTCGTGACGTGACATGTCTGAGGAAGGACTGTGTGGACAGTGTAAGTGAGATCAAGAACAGAGGTTGGAGGAGAGATGGGCCATGAGAATAACAAAAAAAGGCTGCCACGATTCCCACAGCATCTCCATGAAAAAAATAACGGTAAGAAAACAGGAGTCCCTTGGGGTAAATGACTCAAATATGTTCAAACTCAAAGCAACCCCTTTTCGTGTGATGAACATGATGGTCACAAGCCAATCCTTCATGTCCATCGATTAAAATCAGCCCCTCCGGGCCGTCCTGATAATGCTGTTGATACAGAGACCCTGGCTATGGCCAAAATGCACTGCTTTCAAAATCACCTTCAAGTCAGACTTTCTACTGATTCGTCTTCTTTCCCATAGTATTTGTTTAGATGAGTAAAAATAAAGAGATGGGAGCAAAGTCAGAGGAAAAGCTAGGTCTGGGGTGATAGTCATTGAGAATTCACCAACAGAACCAGGCAGGTGGGGTCCACCCAAGGAGCAACAGGGCCCTGACCCAGACGAAGGAGGTGGCAAGAGCAGGGCGCTGGAGAGTGAGGGGCCAGGCTGGGTCCCCGCCCCCTGCCGGCAGTCTCTGTCCACTCCCACAGAGCCTTCCTCAACCTAGTTGCTCTTGCTATGTGTGTTGTGAACCATACCCGCTGCCCATCCAGCCCCATCACACCTCCATGTGCAGACTATGGAGTTAATATCAAGGGTCTTCAAAACCGTATCTATTTTTTCAATCAAAGCCACAAAAAAATGTCGTTATTGTCATGAGGGTGATGGAGCACGGGAGGCTCAGTAGGCTGGACATTAAAGGGGGTAGAAAAGGTTTGAAAATTCCTCAGATGAGGCCCTTTCATTCTGCTGAGCCTAGTCCAAAGGCAAGATGCTGATCCAGAGGACACAACTTGTGCTTGCCCTGCCCTCAGGCCTTGCTGGCCCCAGTGGGAACTCAGGCTAACTGCCCATTCCTTCATTCCTTACTGAGCTTATCACCCCAGGAACCCAGTATGAGCCTGCCCAGCCCAGGGGGCTGCTGAGAGGGAGGGGATGGGCAGCTAGCACTGAGAGACGTCGGGAGAGAAGCAAGGCCCATCAGGAAAGGGGAGACACAGGGAATTCCCTGGTGGTCCAGTGGTAGGACTCCGCACTTTCACAGCCAAGGGCCCGGGTTCAATCCCTGGTCGGAGAACTAAGATCCTGTAAGCCAAGCAGCACAGCTGGAAAAAAAAGAAGGAAAGGGGAGACACAGAGAGGTTAGGAGAGGGAGAGAGAGGCAGTGCAGAGAAGACCCAGAGAGGCTGAGTCTAGCTGCTTCCTAGGGACCTCACAGACGAAGCTTCATGGGACACTTGACACATGCACTCCGCTCTGGATGCCTCCCCCGGGCTCAAAATATCCACACCAGGTAGATACTCCCCCACCTAAATCCCTAATGTGACACCTCGTCCCTCCAGAGCGGCAGAGCCTGCCATCTAGACGAATCCATCAAAGTGAGCTCAGCATCATCCCCCCAAATCTGCTTCCCCTTGAAAGGCCCCGTCCTCCACAGTTACCCAAGCCAGAGTCCTCAACTCACGCTTCTTCTCCACCGCTGCAACCAGTCAACCGCCAAGGCCCCGAGAGCCTGGCACCACCCGACCCACCGTACCATCTACTGTCTCCACTCCTGCTACAGCAGGCAAGCCTAGGCCACCATCATCCTCTTCCTCGATGCTGGCAACAGCTTCCTAACTACACCTGCCCCTAGCCTTGCCCTTCCACACCTGGCACTCTCCCACACCCACACTGCCAACAGAGCCACCTGGGGCCCAGATCTGAGCCTGCCCCCCTCCTGCTGACTTTCCTCCTGTAGTTCCTTCTTGCCTCCTACCTGGCCTTCCTGACCTTCCTGCTTCCTTTCCAGCCTCACCCCTACAGCTCAGCGGCAGCCCTTCACCCCTGCATGTTTGCTCTTCCTGGAATTCCTTGCCATGCTTATCTACCTGGGGAATTCCCTGGTCGTCTTTCAAAGCCCAGATCAGGCGTCACCTTCTCTGTGAAGCCTTCCCAGCTTTCCCCCATGCAGAGCTGGTCATCCCTCCTCTGTGGTCCCTGGTCCCTTCTTTCACGCTGCTGCTCCAGCCCTTACCACCCCAGGCTGTGCTTGTCTGTTTAGACATCTGAGCTCCACCAGGGCTGTGTCTTCTACATCTCTGTACCAGCAGCACACAGCAGGCGCCCAATGTTTGCTAAATGAATGCGTGAAGGAGAGACAGAGAAAGGGACACGATGACACTTCAAGAGGGAGGAGGGGAGGAAAAAAGCCGGGTAGTAGGGACTTCCCTGGTGGCTCAGGGTTAAGAATCCGCCTGCCAGTGCAGGGGACACGGGTTCAAGCCCTGGTCCAGGAAGATCCCACATGCCGCGGAGGAACTAAGCTCATGCACCACAACTACCCAGCCTGCGCTCTAGAGCCCTCGATCCACAACTACTGAGCCCACGTGCCACAACTACTGAAGCCTGTGCGACTAGAGCCCGTGCTCGGCAACAAGAGAAGCCACCGCAATGAGAAGCCCGTGCACCGCAACGAAGAGTAGCCCCCGCTCGCCGCAACTAGAGAAAGCCTGTGCGCAGCAACGAAGATCCAATGCAGCCAAAAATAAATAAATAAATAAAAAATTTAAAAGCCAGGCAGTAAGAGTGAAGGAGGCACAGAGAATGATGGACGCCCAGCAGTAAGGGGAGGGGTGGTGGACAGGAGTGGAGGGGGGTCACCCACAGATGGGCCCTCCCCTCCGGGAGCCCCGGCCTGTGGAGCAGGCAGACAGCCCGGCCCGGCAGCGCCAGGCACTCAATCCACGCCGGCTGACTGATCAAAGAGGAGCCCGGGTGGGAGACAGAGGACATACGGAAAAGGGTGAAGTGGCTCGGAAGGGATGGGAGGGGGTGTTTGGGGAAAAGCACAGGCTGGGCCCCTCCCAGCCCCACAGCAGTGCTCACTGGCTGCACCCCGCTGGGCTGTCGCAGCTCCACCCGCTCCCCAGCCCCTCCACCAGAACCCTCCCTAACCATAGGGCAACCCCTCCCCTCGCTCCTCAAGCCTCGGGCAGCAGCAGTGCCCGTGGCTGGTGCTGAAGCAGAAAACTCGGCCAGGCCTGGCAGCCGGAGCCAGCTGGGCCTTTGTGGTCACTGGAGGGTCCCCTCAGGTGTCTCCTCCCCCAGGGGGATGTCCACACTCTCCCAAGTTGTCTTCTAGTGGACACCTGAGATGCTAGAGTGTCCTGTGGGCCCTGTCAGCTCTTCTCAAGGCCAGGGCCAGCTCCCCCCACTCCTGCAGGACGTGGGTCCCAATCAGCTCCAAGGAGAGACCTTTTCCAAACAGAAAACACATCTTAGAGAATTCCCTGGCGGTCCAGTGGTTAGGACTCCGCGCTGGCACTGCCCAGGCGGGGTTCAATCCCTGCTTGGGGAACTAAGATCCCGCAAGCCACGTGGAGTGGCCAAAAAAAAGAAAGAAAACCCATCTTAGCAGCAGGCCCCTGAGAGTGCAAAGCCAGAGACAGCGAATAGAGCCATCTAGGGACAGGGAGCTGAGGGCGCGTGTCCTGGAAGGAACGTCCACCCCTGGGGCTCAGCAGCCTAGACCTTGGGGCGCCTCCAGATTCCCCTAGGCTCCCTCACCCCACCTCTACATCTCAGCACACAGCTCACCACCTACTTCACAGAGAAAAAAGACCATCCTGTTAACTCAGAAGGGTAGCCTGCCGGGTACACCCTAGAATCACCTGTAGAGCTTTTCAAAAAACCAACCAAAGAAAAATGATCCCTGAGCTCTGTTCTCAAACCAGTTAAATCAGAACCTCTGGGGGTAGCATTTAGGTAACTATATATTTTTAACTTGTTACTGATGTGTAATTTACATATTGAAAAGTGCACACAAAGTAAGTGAACCGTGCAACGCATTTCACAAACGGTGCATACCGGAGAAGCTGCCCTCCGGAAGCCCCTCCCACGCCTTCTAGTCTCACTGCCCACTCCCAACCCCCCACCCCCGGTCAAAGAGAACCACCTACGCGACTTGCAACAACACAGATTGTCTTTGCCTCTTCGGGGACTTTCTGTGGATGGAATCACGTGGTACGTGTTCTTTTACTCGGCAACACACTGGTGAGATTCA